CGAATCAGTTGTCAAGCAATTTAAAGTAATATTTGACCTCATTGTTATTCGCGGCCAAGGTGCCGTGAAAGTAACCTACCTTCTAGAAACAAATTGTTCTTCTGCTTCGTAATTGAAGTACGCGTTTGCTTTGTACATAACGCGATCCGATTTCTGTAATCTTGTGTTATCGTTCTGAAAGGTGAGATCGAGCTCACAGTTTGAAAGTATACGGCGGGTAACAACTCGGCTCACTTCCTGAAATGTAGGGTAAGTCCCCTGAGGGTAACCGTAGATGTCTGAAGATGAAACTTCCATTCTATTGTTCATTTGTCGATTAATTAGCTTTATTTAATGTTACAATCCATGTTTAATACTAGAGGGAGCTGATGTTACACGACGTACTTGGATTATTTGAATTTACAGCCCTAGAGGAATGATGTGGAGGGGATATGTAAGAATTCCACAGATCGAGTCCTCCACAATACAAACTGCGTACAATTTGAAGATGGCTGTCTTCTGGGTCCTTGCGTCGTGTTGTCGGGTAGTAGTTTACAGAAGTTTCAGAGGTTCTTGCTGCTTCCACGAGACGTTGACATGATAGACATGCTCCTTCATTACGTGTTAAATTACGCTGAATGTACTTCGTTCCAAGAACGCTTAATAAAATCATAAACAAAGCTGATGTTTCAGAAACAACTACCGATAACATTCAGTGGAGAGAAAATTATGTCACCTTAACAAGGATACAGCCTTTGAGCCTATCCTGAACCAGTTGTGTCTACTCTTCATCCTTGTACTCTGTTTTTTAAGGTCTAAGTTAATATTATCCTCCCATCTATGCCGAGGACTTCCTAATTGACTTTTTCCAACTGTAATGTTGTATGCTTATATCGTATCCGAATGCATGCTATATACACGACCCATGTCATTGTCCGTTATTTAGACATGCTCTTGTGTACAGAGGCTAAAGAGGTGTCTGGAATCTCCCTTCACCTGTATATGAAAAGGTGCATTGTGTTTGGCGAGCTACATCCGCTGTAGACCTATATATTCGCTTAGATTCTGATCTTCCCACAGGAAAGTTGATAATCGGAACACTTGTATCGTCCGTTAACTTTCTTTTCACGACGTTTGAACTGCATAGATATAGCATTTTATTTTTAATTGGAGAAAGTTTAAAACTGCACTGTCATACTCTTCAGAAAATTACTGCAGTTCTGACAGTTTGCTTTCCATGAAAATCAGCATGAAATTATTTTTTAAATGACAGTGTTGGTTTATTGCAGAATGCCTCTGTTGTGCGGAATATCTATATTCTACAAATAATATCGAATTCTTTGTTAAACCAAGCCGTTGACGAAATCATCATTCAGAAATTGGAGGAACGTTTGTAGAAGTTCCCTTTTAACCTAAAACAGTCTGGTTACTTCAATATCAGATTGTCTTGAATGAGAAAGAAAGGTAAGTATCCATTCTGCTGCAAAGTAGGCCATTTCCTTTAAGAGATTTCATGTTCTCACGGCGTTAAGAGGTCAGGTTGTGGTCCTTCGGACTGATTCACCGCACAGTACTGTAGGTGGTTACCGACGTTTCGGAGTAACATGCTGCCCTCCATTTACTGACCGTTCATCTACTATCAACTTCTCAAGGACTCTGCTCTGTGGTGTCAACTAACACGTACGTGTTTAGTATGTTTACCTTCCTTTGCTATTATTTATAACCTGTATGCAGGCCTATGTGTTTGTCCAGTCAGTTACTGTTTGTTTATCAACGAAAGTTCCTTTCGATAATTGAGTAGTACTTTTTATATATTTCAACATAGGATTGTCGAATTTCTGTTTGGGATCAGGACACTTCGAAGTCAGGACCTCAGTCCCAACAGTACGGCCTTTCGAAACCGCAATCTCAGATCTACGATTCGTTCGATTTCATCTCGTTTATATCCCACTCGTCTCCCTGCTTAAGTCAGAATATTATATACTCAGTGACGAAATGGAACTGACATTTCAGCTTCAAGACGAAATCATGATATCGAAGGCGACAACTCGTAGATGGTGAAATTATATGTAACAGCGGAGAAACACGGTATTTGGGCGCCAAATTCGTTGGAGCCTTAGTGACTACGGTCCTGAAACAGAATTAGTCGATTACCTACTTCATATGCTGGTTTAAGTACAGCCATCGTCATCTGAAATACAAAGCAACGCACGTGATCACTGAACTGGTGATGACTCGCGGAACATACCATTAAACAATTTGTCCAAGTTAATAGAACGAAGCGGAAATGTCTCTCCAATGGACGGATAATTTCGCCACAGGCTCCTGACCTGCTTCCGATCCATGAACCGGAGAGATGACGTCCAGGTTCACATAGAAATGCAAGCAAACGTCACAATGTCTTATGGGGCGAGGCAATATTTCAAAGTAAGCGGTATGTGCGTAAAAGACCAAGTCTGCTACGTTGTTGACTTTTGGCATCTCTGTTACGACTGACACAGAAACAAAGTCCCCTGAGGGTAACCGTAGATGTCTGAAGATGAAACTTCCATTCTATTGTTCATTTGTCGATTAATTAGCTTTATTTAATGTTACAATCCATGTTTAATACTAGAGGGAGCTGATGTTACACGACGTACTTGGATTATTTGAATTTACAGCCCTAGAGGAATGATGTGGAGGGGATATGTAAGAATTCCACAGATCGAGTCCTCCACAATACAAACTGCGTACAATTTGAAGATGGCTGTCTTCTGGGTCCTTGCGTCGTGTTGTCGGGTAGTAGTTTACAGAAGTTTCAGAGGTTCTTGCTGCTTCCACGAGACGTTGACATGATAGACATGCTCCTTCATTACGTGTTAAATTACGCTGAATGTACTTCGTTCCAAGAACGCTTAATAAAATCATAAACAAAGCTGATGTTTCAGAAACAACTACCGATAACATTCAGTGGAGAGAAAATTATGTCACCTTAACAAGGATACAGCCTTTGAGCCTATCCTGAACCAGTTGTGTCTACTCTTCATCCTTGTACTCTGTTTTTTAAGGTCTAAGTTAATATTATCCTCCCATCTATGCCGAGGACTTCCTAATTGACTTTTTCCAACTGTAATGTTGTATGCTTATATCGTATCCGAATGCATGCTATATACACGACCCATGTCATTGTCCGTTATTTAGACATGCTCTTGTGTACAGAGGCTAAAGAGGTGTCTGGAATCTCCCTTCACCTGTATATGAAAAGGTGCATTGTGTTTGGCGAGCTACATCCGCTGTAGACCTATATATTCGCTTAGATTCTGATCTTCCCACAGGAAAGTTGATAATCGGAACACTTGTATCGTCCGTTAACTTTCTTTTCACGACGTTTGAACTGCATAGATATAGCATTTTATTTTTAATTGGAGAAAGTTTAAAACTGCACTGTCATACTCTTCAGAAAATTACTGCAGTTCTGACAGTTTGCTTTCCATGAAAATCAGCATGAAATTATTTTTTAAATGACAGTGTTGGTTTATTGCAGAATGCCTCTGTTGTGCGGAATATCTATATTCTACAAATAATATCGAATTCTTTGTTAAACCAAGCCGTTGACGAAATCATCATTCAGAAATTGGAGGAACGTTTGTAGAAGTTCCCTTTTAACCTAAAACAGTCTGGTTACTTCAATATCAGATTGTCTTGAATGAGAAAGAAAGGTAAGTATCCATTCTGCTGCAAAGTAGGCCATTTCCTTTAAGAGATTTCATGTTCTCACGGCGTTAAGAGGTCAGGTTGTGGTCCTTCGGACTGATTCACCGCACAGTACTGTAGGTGGTTACCGACGTTTCGGAGTAACATGCTGCCCTCCATTTACTGACCGTTCATCTACTATCAACTTCTCAAGGACTCTGCTCTGTGGTGTCAACTAACACGTACGTGTTTAGTATGTTTACCTTCCTTTGCTATTATTTATAACCTGTATGCAGGCCTATGTGTTTGTCCAGTCAGTTACTGTTTGTTTATCAACGAAAGTTCCTTTCGATAATTGAGTAGTACTTTTTATATATTTCAACATAGGATTGTCGAATTTCTGTTTGGGATCAGGACACTTCGAAGTCAGGACCTCAGTCCCAACAGTACGGCCTTTCGAAACCGCAATCTCAGATCTACGATTCGTTCGATTTCATCTCGTTTATATCCCACTCGTCTCCCTGCTTAAGTCAGAATATTATATACTCAGTGACGAAATGGAACTGACATTTCAGCTTCAAGACGAAATCATGATATCGAAGGCGACAACTCGTAGATGGTGAAATTATATGTAACAGCGGAGAAACACGGTATTTGGGCGCCAAATTCGTTGGAGCCTTAGTGACTACGGTCCTGAAACAGAATTAGTCGATTACCTACTTCATATGCTGGTTTAAGTACAGCCATCGTCATCTGAAATACAAAGCAACGCACGTGATCACTGAACTGGTGAAGTTACGCGGAACATACCATTAAACAATTTGTCCAAGTTAATAGAACGAAGCGGAAATGTCTCTCCAATGGACGGATAATTTCGCCACAGGCTCCTGACCTGCTTCCGATCCATGAACCGGAGAGATGACGTCCAGGTTCACATAGAAATGCAAGCAAACGTCACAATGTCTTATGGGGCGAGGCAATATTTCAAAGTAAGCGGTATGTGCGTAAAAGACCAAGTCTGCTACGTTGTTGACTTTTGGCATCTCTGTTACGACTGACACAGAAACAAATGAAGAGTATAAGTTAATCTCACGGTGGCCCGCGGGCCGTCCCATAATAGAATAATGTGAAATACAGAGAGCGAATTGGGCAGGCAGGCCGGCCGGTCCGCGTTCCATAATGTTTCTGTTGCTTAAATCGATTTTGATTCTTGAGTAATCATTCCACGGAAATGTTGCTTTTCGCTTTATGATTCGGGGTTTGTGGATTTTATTTTTCAGGTTTCACTGTCACAGAAGACAGCTGCTGGTAGAGCAAATATATCACAGATTATTTAAATTTTGTTGCAGTTTTGAATGTGGCAGCAGGAAAGGCTCCGATGCAGATCAGCTCGGATCTGGGCGGAATTCCGCAGAAGGCAATCGACGGCAGCACCAGCTCGTTCTTCAATGTGGACACTTGCACCCTGACCAGGGCAGAGCGCGTGCCGTGGTGGTACGTGAACTTACTGGAGCCGTACATGGTACAGCTCGTCAGGCTGGACTTCGGTGAGTCTGTGCTGTATTTACTTATACGATCAATCCGGTTTCATAATTGTCAGATCTCGTATGCCAGTTCGGGCTCTTGCGAAAACTTTAAAAAATATTTACGAATTCTTCAGATACGTGATTAATTATTTCTTGAAGGAGATGGTGTGCATTATTCTGAAGTGACGGCTTTAAATTTAAGCGCATAGCTGTTTTAGGTGTTAATTTTTAATTACCAAATTTCCCTTCCCAAACTATTACTCTCGAATATTTTTACCCGCCATTTTCTTTAAGGTAAACAGTAGCATCATTTTTCATTAAAGTGAATGCTAAGAATTTACACAGTTACATTTGTGCGTTCATTAAAGTGTTACTCAGAATCTGCTATTACAATTGAAAACAGCCGTAAGCAGTTGTTTAAAAAACATATATCACGTTTTTACCTTCTGTTTACAATTATTGCTTACGGGTTTCCCCGGTTCTGCACGCACTTCGCTTCACTGCGTTCCCCATGTAATTATGTGACACGCCTTGCTTGGCGACAGGCCCCGGGGATTATTCTGTCCAGGTTTTCTTCATTGAGAACGCCGCCCTCAACTGTCACGCACAAAGGGAAAGTCTGCCGGTTTTAGACAGACGTTGTAGCAGAAATTATCAGTTGGATCTTTCGATACGCTTTTCCATTACAAATAGAAATTAGTTAACGCTGTTCGGGGAAACTTTCTGTTGAAAGGTGAAGTCCCTTGTGATGGGAACTGAGATCATTGTTGAAACGTTTTAATGCAGCGGTGAGTCCGGATCAACAGCGGCCTAAGGTAACCCTTGGGACGTAGTTGGCTCAATAATGACCTCGGATGACGTAAGTACAACAATGGTCTGCTTCATGTGGAATGTCATGTACTCCAAAGAGTATGCTTTACCAAGCTTCTTGGATCTGCTTCTCGGTCAACCTCACTCTAACAGAGCTTTTGTGCTTTGTATGGTTCAATTACTTTTTGCCCAATTTGACGCCTTCGTAACACATCACCAAAATTGTAATCGGAAAATCTGAAGGAAGACGTGGACCTTGATGGGTGTAACATTAAAATGGATCTGAAGGGAAAGTGGTGGGAGGGTGTGGACTGGATTCAGTTGAATCAGGATGTGATTCAGTGGCCAGAAATGAGCCTTATAGTTCCATAAAAGACGAAGAATATTTTGATCAGTTGAGCGAAAGTGAGCTCATTAAATGAACTCTGCCCCAGTGTGGTGAGAACACGACACTAGTGAAATGCGATGGAAGGGCTCCAGCGCAAACTAGATCTCACGGATGTTATGAACAATTCATTACTTTCAGCGACCGAGTGACGGATGAGTTGATGGAAACCGAACAAAAGTAAACTCGTCAGCAATTTACGGTGAGTCCAGCAGACCACCTCGTGATTCGCTGTGGCTACTTTAGAAAGTCGACAGACGTCTGCAACTTGAATTCTGATTCACTGCTATTTCCAATTACCTTGTTTTCACATCCTCGATAAAATTGAAAGAATGCTATGCCTAGAATCACTTTCGGTTCTTCAGGAAATCTTGGCAGTTTACCGTATTCATTCTCTGGACTCGATTATTCTGAAAAGCGAAATTTATTCTATAAAGTTATTGCAGACATGTGTATGACTCGAAACACCAATGACACCCCCGGAACTCGGGTTATAGTATCGTACTTGGCAAAAGGGAAATTGGTCCGTCTGTTTAATTAAACGCCACACCACGAAGATGTAACAAAACTATAACTTTAGTTATTTTGGGTGGGTGTCTCGTATTAAGAGATTGGGGAGGGTGTTTGAGAACGTGGTGCATAGGAGAATATTTCAACCAAGGAGGGATGACGTGACAGGAAGATGGAGAAAACTGCATAATGATGAGCTCTATAGTTCGTATTCTTCGCCAAATATCATTAGAGCGATGAAATAAATAAGAATGAAATGGACGGGGCATGTAGCGTGCATAACAGAAATGATAAATGCGCACACAGTTGTGTATCGGCATGCAAAGTCGTTTTATAGAGGACGGGGGTATTCGTGCTCTTTATTTAGTTTCGTGTGGTCGAGCAAGTTGTCAGGGGCCCACGGTTTTACGCATTTCTGAAAAGAGTGAGAATTACTATAAAGTTATTTGAGATTTAGATTTCTTACGACGGTGAAGATAGCGACTTTGGACTTCTGGGATGTGACTTCTACCCTGAAAATGGAGGTAATACGTTTTTTCGAATCGCTGGTAACGACCTACAAGACTACACGGCGTCAAAACCACGACCACAGTCATCAATAGGAAGCTGGTAGCTTCTCGAAACCTCAAGTGAAGTGGTACATATAGTGTCCATTTCCGCGGTCTGGTACAGTTCCACTTCCCTGGGCATACACAGACCCTGCCCTGTAACCACAGTCAACAGGCGAATCAGGAAAGTGAAATGAAGCTGAGCGTGAGAATGGTTACGCACAAAATCTCTGAAGCCGCAGCTCGTCCAAATAATATTTAAGAATTCAATCTGGACCTCAAAGAAAACACTTGATTATTATGTTATAAAACCTAGTTATTAATACCATAGTAATTTTCGTATTGTTTTGTTAAATTCCACATGGTTTAAACGACAACGCAACTGTTTTAATGCTCCAGCCTTGCACTTAACAATGTTTGTTTCATTAAAATATTCTTTGCTATTGTTTGTATTTGTGTGTATTAATGTTTTCCTCAGTAGCAGAAAACGTTCGACCTTTTCGCATTGACTAATGCCCGGGTGTCATAAAAAGATGACACGCAGCCAGCATTGCGTATAGTTCTTTTTGGGACATTCTGTGTGTGGCGGGTTGCATATAAAGTTGTGAGGGTCACGTGCCCTTTGAAGGGTTAGCATGTCTGTATGCAGTGAAGAGGTTCTACATCCTTTCATGCAAGAACAGCATTTCTCTCAGCATAGTTTGTAATTGTATCTGGCCTCTGGTGGTGTGATCAAGAACAAGAAATGCCGGTGTTTTGTCGTTATAGCATTATTTATTGTTAGCATTGCATCAGTCTGAACAGATAAACATCGAAAGATCCGAAATGACTATGAAAGTGGCGAATAAAGAAAATAAGGCTAATATGTTCCAATAAAACTTCTTCTGTTATTGCAGTTTCATACGTTAGTTGCTTTATTTAAACCAAAAAATTATTTCTCTTTTTCAGTTCTTGCCCAAAAATTAAGGTTTGATGCATCATGTGGACAACTCAGTTACATACAAATTATTGCTATTATTCTATCTATTCACCACTTTATAGGGTATTTATTATTATTATTATTATTACTATTATTATTGGTTTAAAAAGTAAAGAAGTACGTGTTTTAAACCATACAAATTTGAGATGTTTCAAAATTAACGTTCAGGACATTGTCCAGTAACGGTCTCTCGAGAAAACTGACGAGTATTCATTTTCCATGAAAGTTTATTGAATGGCTGAGTGAGGGACCCTGATAAATGGAGTTCATTTTGTCTGTTCCACTATTATGAACTGGGTACTTAACCATAATTTGCCGTAAAGTCTTTTGCTCCATCCAGATATGATCGTCGTCTTTCTAACATAACTCTCATTAACTGTAAAGGCCATACAAATGCTCTGTTACCTCGTGACCTACTGAGAACACTCAAATTCCCACGGCAGATGCTAAATAGAGCCTGAGACACACAGGCCTACATCATAGCTTTTCGGCTGCATTGTCTTAGGCACATTCACAAATTCAGTTATACTCAATGTTTCATTACGACCTCTGTTTCTTGTTCCCTGCATATTCTTATCAGAAGAACAAACATTTTAATTTACTGTTCACTCGATGGTGAAGATGTCGATTGTGGTCTTCTGGGTTGTGGCGCCATGTTGTCTTGCAAATGGTTAACATCGTTTCGAAGGAACTTATGGGTACTTCACCCTAGCAATACGTCCTCCGAAATATTGGAAATCTCCTACAAGACATCATGGCGCCACAACCTAGAAGACCACAAGCGAAAGGTCGTTTTCATTATTAATAACACATTTGTTGCAAAATAATGTTATTTATTACAGCTATTAATTTGCGTCGTCGTGATTAATTCTATGATTTTTCCGGACCACTGTTCGAAATGCAAAGCGTTAAAACGGACGGTTGGCTAACGTGTGTAAATGTACGTTCGTCTTGAAACAAGTAATACAATATCATTGAATATTTAATATCAAGTGAGTAAGTAACAAAAATGGCAAATTAACACATACAATTAACATGTGAACCAATTTACGATGGAATTTTAGAAAATTGTTCTCATTTCATAAGTTTACGGCTGACGAGTAAATAAGAGGGATTGAATCTGGCTGCAGGTCTCAAAAGGTTGAGAAACTTGGATCTAAGCTATTGATAGCATTATTAGATAATCCACAAATACAATAAATATATTCATATGAAACATTTGTTTTTGTACCTGATTTTTCCTTATGCAAGTATTTTAAAGACAAATTCAATAGAATATGACAAGAACTTATATCAGAAGGTCAGCAATGGCTTTAAATGCTTCACAGGGAGGAACCTTCCAGCAACAGTGTTGGTGAGAGTAGGCAATAATCGACCTGACCTGGGCACCAACCCTATCTGTAATCGTTTTACTGGTCAGCTGGAAGAGGGGAAACCACTGTTCTTGCCTTGCAATCCACCGATGCCTGGCGCCTTCGTCAGCATTCACCTGGAAGCGGCCAACCTCAGTCAACTCTCCATCTGTGAAGCTTTTGTCTATACGGACCAGGTACTGTCAAATTAAGGAAAAACACTTCAAGTAAGACATCTTTGTCTTCACTGTGCAGTGTTTTAGCAACACTAAGGTGCGAAATCCGTGTGTGAAGTCTGTATACAGTGAAATATGAACAAACTTCAGTGGGCTTGAAAATTTGTTTGTTAAGATTAAATTTCATTATAATGACAACTAGAAATGTACTTATATTTCAGAGGTGCTTACTGCCTCTGTCATCAGGGTGCTCATTACCCTGATAATGGAGGCAACAGGCACCTCTGAATGTCAGTACATTTCTGCCAGAGTACACTGTGCAGCATCCCAGAGGATAATCATATTCTTCAAATTAATCACAGGTATAATTAGGAACTCGCATTACAGGCACTGCCAATTGAACGCTGCCCTCAGTTCCGAGATCAGCCACCAGGCAGCACAGCAACATACAATGGTAAATGCTACATTTTCTACAACCGACAACCGCTCACTTTTAAGGACTCCCTTGCCTTTTGTCGGAGTCGTGGTGGCACATTAGTGGACGAGAGCAATCCCGCACTGCAAGGCTTCATCAGCTGGGAACTGTGGCGTAGACATAGGTTGGTGCTAACATTTCAGCTCTGCAGGTTTTGTATCCATTGCATGAAATATATGAAAGTGTGGAAGAAGTATTAATTGCATGATGACTGATGTGCCCACTTCTTTTTGGTTATTATGTTTATATTACAGGATAGACTTTGCCAGCAGATTGGTGATGACTTTCTATAAAGATTCCAGGATATTGACTTTCAACTGAAGAAAAATATTATAAAGTAATTTGGAAAGTGACAAATGCCTGATGCATATTGATCACTTACAAAACCAAATTTTGTCATGATGTCAGTGAACTTGTTACATGAATTACAGGGCATAATGAAACATTACAGTGCATGTTCATTTTAAAATAGACTACTTCTGGTAAATTAGTACTCTTCTAAAGCTTCTTCCTTCTAAACTCAATCAAAATTAATGCAAAATTGCCTTAATTGAACATTATAAGTTAAGAAATGCATATTCAGGCACTTTAAAGTATTTAAATTGTTAAGATAGTGGACATAGAGGTACAGAAAAACTAACAGCATTCAGCATGACAGTACAAACTTTATTCATTCAGCTTCAGTCACATAACACATACCAGATATTTGTGATGGAATATACAAATTAACTAAAAAATATCATCAAATCTCATTATGACTAAACCAAATTATAACCTTTCAAGGATTTAGAAGAGTATGAACATTACATTTGCCTTATATTTTAGAAGTGATTCAAACAGCCAATACTGGATGGGAGCTGTGCGAGATCCACAGGACCGAAACAATTGGAAATGGTTGGGTGGGGAGGATGTGACAGTTTCTTTCTGGAACTTACCTGGTGGAAATGAAAATTGTGCCCGCTATGATGGGTCAAAGGGCTGGCTTTGGTCAGACACCAACTGCAATGCAAAACTGAACTTCATTTGTCAGCACCGTGAGTGTACTAATGACTATATTATTACATAGTGTTAAAAATTCAGGTTTGATTTTTAGTGTCTGGAAGTGGTATGGGGTTTGGTCTGTATTGTGAAATAAATAGAAACTTGGAATTTATGTCACATCTGGAAATATTGTATTTCTGATATATTTACTAATATTTATATTTATGGAGTATCTGTTATGGTTTTAACAATTTATTTTTAGTTTCTAAGATTTTAATTATTAGTGGAATCCAAGATAACATCCAGTTCTTAGATTTCACCATTTCTTATTGAAATTGTATTTTTTCCTTAGTGGCACTACAAATCATTTGTACAGCATATAGTTTAATATAATTAGAAAGACACACCAAATGTACAATAATTAAAATTGTATGTTAACTCTTTTACAACAAAGCAAAACTCCAAAGTGAGGTTGCCCAGAGAGAACAAAGGGCTCCAGGGACCAGTGGAGGTCAAATCCATCATGGTCAAAGCCCTGCAAGGGCAGAAAGTGGGTTTTCAAAGCTCTAATGGAATAGGAATAACAATAACGATAAGAACAAGAATAATAATGGAATACAAAATTAAAATATAAATAAGAATATAGTAGGTATATTGGCAATGCATATTTTCAGAATTTTGTTTTACTTTAATATACGTGGGACATTTAGTAATGTGTGAATAAGATTTTTCCACATGATCAGACACAGGAGAAACAAAATAGTATTTTTGCCCTTATGTTGTCTGATTTGCATTTATTTTTAAACTATGCAATAAGAACCTGTTAATTTATGGTCATATTTTTGTTGATGTCAGTTTCTGATACTTTCAATATTCCATCTGAAAGGTTGAGAATGTTAGTTACTACATTTAATTTTAGAACCAAAAGCATGTGGGAAACCTGAGCAGCCACCAAATTCAACAATGGTGGCCAAGAATTTTAATGTTGGTGCAGTGATTGATTACACATGTGATGAAGGCCACCTTCTTGTGGGCCCTGCATCACGCACTTGCCTGCCTACTGGCTTCTACAATGAGTTCCCACCTGTGTGCAAACGTAAGTAAAATATTTTGCTTTAAGTGAAAAGTCATTGCATTGTGCCTTGTTTTAATGCATGTCATGTTTAATCTCATGTTCTGTAATATGAAACCTGACCCGTGGACACAGCGAAGGCTTAAAAGCTATACCATGACTGCTTGTACCACTGGAAGGATAATGAACATTATTATTTTTTAATATGCTAATTTTCAGCTATATGACTCTCCTAGTACACTTTTTCTAAACATCTGACCACTTCACTACTTTCTGTTGTAGTATTTCTTCGGCATCTCCTTCATAATTCTTGGAAATTTTACTGCCTCATGCTTCACATGATAAAATGTTAAGTTTACGACCCAGTCATGGTTGTGTATGATTAATGATTTTATTCATTCTGTAATATTATTAGGGTTCATATTTACAAGCATTTATGCTCATTCAAACCACCCTTGAGGTATACGACAACACAAAAAAGATTTTTCACATTTATTATTTGACTGGTTTATTTAGAAGAGAAATATTTTGTAATGAATTGACCAACATATGTCAGTAGCACAGATTATTTTAGGATCTGTGTAATAAAATGTAATTCCTTGTAAATTAAATTTGAGAGACAAACCAACAAATAAAATGCTACGTTTGTTAATATGAATTATTTGCCAGTTTCTCAAGCAGTCTAGTTATCACTGTTCATATGACTGCTCCATCTCTGCTTGGTTTGATTCTTGTCAGACATAGGAATTCTTTTACCAGATCCAGACTGGCTCCAGAGCCCACACAATCTCCTATTGTCAGTGTGAAGCTATCACTTACCTCCTCCTAGTGCTGAGATTGAGAATACACAAAGATTTGCCTCCACTCCCTCATATATCCTTGTCATAGTGCTTAGGCATAGAGCCAAATTTACCATTATTATACAGATTCAGTGTAAGTAATTTGAATTGTAGGTATCCAGTGTGGCTTCCCTGCTGAGATACCCAATGGACAGTATCAGCTACTGAATGGTACTGTTGGCTACATGAGTCGAGTCATTTATTCTTGTGATGTAGGGTATGAACTAATTGGAAGAGCACAGCTCATGTGTGACATTGATGAGAGATGGAATGGACCACCACCTCGGTGTGAAGGTATCAGCATTATCACCACCTTAATTCTTATGAAAGGAAAAGCTAATGTAGATTTTAATAAAAAAAATGATTAAAGGATATGTAAGTGAGGTCTTTTGAAATCATATTTGGTTTACTTGTAATGTTTTTCTGTTTTGTGACAACATGAAGGACTATTTTACCTAAAATTACAATAATATTATATTTGTTCTTACATGTTATGGTTAGAAAATATTTATCAAAACAGTTGCTTATTCTACTCCTTTGCATAATAACAAGACTGATAATTGTATACTAGAAGTCCTGTGTATTCCTGAGATATATTCAGAGAGTTGTGATCAAAAATGGCACACAATTATTTTTTTTTAAGATCTCCATTGACTGTGATGGGAATTACAACCTACTGTCCATTTATTTAAACCATAGACATATTACAATAATTTAATGTCTGAATGAAGTGTGAAAATGTATGTTTTGATGGGTTTCATTACACGGTCTATAAAATGAACTGAGATAAGATTATGTTAAACTTTAAACTATACTATAACTTTTAACACTGATAATTTATATTAATTAGGAGCCGGGGTAGCTCAGTCAATATAGTGACTGACTATGGACTGGATGATCAGGCTTCAATTCCTGACAGAGGCAGAAGATTTTTCCTCTAACCTCTGCATCCCACCAGCCTCCTATCCAATGGGCACCAGGGTCCTTTCCTGGGAGTAAAGCGTAGCGGGGGCATGACACTGGCCACGCACTAATATCTAGTGGCGAGGTTAAGAATGCGTGGGAGCTATAGCTCCTCTCCAAATGCCTATATGGCATATAATGGGACAGCTTTACTTTTTTAATTTTTATTAATTATGAATATGCATATTTTACATCTGAAATTTGGAAAGTCTTTACATTGCATGGGAGTGAAAAATTAGGGTAAGAATACTTTATCAAAATGCAGATTTCAAAGCTGTCCTGCAACTTTGTCACTGATAGGACAAGAATTAACTGTGTTATGTGTTGTGGGTTTGGCAAGATTCTAATGCACACTGTGATTTTCAGCCATATGTATTTATTCTGTGACTTCAGTAGACTTTTGCTATTAGTTGTATTAAAAGAGTAGGTGAAATGTGTATAAATTGTTTGATTATACTGATATATGTTGTATTTACTTGTTATGAAGCTATGATAGTTTCTTATCCAGTCTTTCTGCCTGAACTAGGCAATAATATTGAAACTAATCTGATGGCTAAGAAGGTAAAATTGGACCACACATTAGATCTTATAGTTATTGCATAAAGGTGAAGATATACAAAATATTTAACCTTCTTGCTAACTCATAGAGGTGAAATTTGACCACACATTTGTCCTTATTGATAATAAGTACTATATCTAATCTACTATATTTGGCATGTCACTGAGAATCACTCTCTGCTATTTGCTGTGCATCAAGTGATTTAGATACATTGTTGTATCAGATTATTAGCCATATCCTGTAATGAATATTTAAAATCCAAATGATTAAACTTCATACATTTGTGCAAGTGTGTTTGCTGGGTCTTAATTTGTGATGGTAGTTATTCCACAGTTGTTAAAGTTGCTCACAAAACCATATCAGTGAGGTTGAAATTCAGCTCTGGGAAAAGTTAATCAATGTTTCTATTCTACACAGCTATTGAATGTGATGACCCTCCCTCGATACAAAATGGGAAGTTCACAGTTAGCAACAACTTGACAGTCGTGGGAACAATGGTTGAATATTTATGTAACTCTCAGAACTACAAACTGATTGGCTCCAACAAGATTATATGCCTTCCCAGCGGAGAATACGATGATAATCCACCTGTATGTAAAGGTATGAAATATCACCTTTGGGACTAGGCTTTCACTCAGATTTAAACTCGCACTTAATGCAAATGTTTAACATGAGAATTTGTTAGCATTATTTTCTGTTCTGCAAATAACCAGCAATTATCATTTCATACAATCTTAAATTTTTAACAGTGTGAATGCAGTTTTATTTTTATGACAAAGTAGTATTTTGTAATGGTTAATTCATAAATATGAAAACATAATAGGACCATGACAAAGAAAACAAAATTATTACATATAAGGAGGGAGTAATAATACAGTTTTCAGATTCTTACTATAGGAGTAATTAAGACAAAACAAACAGGTTGCATGAGGTCAGAACTGAAGAGAAGCAGCCATGTTATGTTGCCATGTAATAATTTAAAACATTTGTTTAATTTTGCAGTAGTGATAAATGAATAACTGGTTATGATATGCAAGGCAATATCAGAACACTTTCATAAATTGACTTTACATTAGTCAGAACAAGCCCTTGTGATGGAAGTATTAAGCTTTGAAGATAATTTTGAAGTGTTATTTTACAGAAGAGAGACAGACAGTAGCTGCAGTTCCAGTATCACCTAGCAAACCCACACGACCACAGACACCTCCAAGCAAGGCTCATGGCCTACCAGTTACACCTACTCGACCCAGCCTACCACCTGCTCGTCCTGGCCCGCAGAGCCCCCATCAGGAGCATCCTAGCAGGGAGAAACCTTCCAAGAGACCACCAGCATCAACAGATAGCAAAACAGCAGAGTCAGCCCATATACCCCATACTGTGGCAGGGTCACATCCACAAGACAATGAGATTCCTGACAGTGTCAATGTGAGGAGTGATCTCTCACCAGATGTAAATGTGGCACATTCAGTGGATGAAGAGCGACATGAAGCAGGGGCCAGACTTAACCTAGGTTAGTGAAAATATTTACTCATGATCCTGCTGGTGCATCTCCAAATTACTTCTTAATTTTTATTATCAGATTAGTTCAGTGATGGCTGTATATATTTATCTAAAACAATTTTAAATTTTGGTAGCTTTCATATTCCATGTCAAGTTTTATAGGCCATTCAGATTCCTGATAGTGTATAATCTGTGTGTGTGTTTAAGTATATGCGTAGACAATTGCTGGTTGATTGATGGTAATTTTTTCAAAACAATATTAGAATGTTATAAATGTTATTACATTTATTTTATCGAGATTGTTAGCAGTAAACCATTTTCATGTTTGAGAAGAACTATGTTTTATGTTGCACAGGATTAATAAAAGTTTTTACTAAAAATTATGACACTTGGGTTATGATGATAAATTGATTGTTGTTATTTATGTATAATATGAAAAGCAAGGGCCCTACAATTGACTGTTTGGTAATTTCATGATTTAATGTTCCCTAGTTAGAGAAAAAAATTCTGGCTGTTTTTAGGTAATTTTACTTCAGCTATTTCCTTTCAATCTGGTGTATATGAACCGTTTTTCACCTATTCCTTGATTGCCATAACAATGTAATTTAGTTAACAAAATTTAATGATTTACACAGTCAAAAACTTATGCTAAATAAGAGAAAATTCCATCTACATAAATTTTTTGGTTAATAGGTTTCAGCACATTGTCTGTTAGTTTGAAGGCCTAAAGCACAAGAGTGAAGTAAGACTCGAGACATACTATCACAATTTTAAAACTCGAGCATTCTATTAAAGGGAGTATACTAACAATGAATTTTGTACCAGTAGAGATTTTATACACATTTATCCTACTAAAAGTGTATGCAGTTATTTAGTTTTATTTATTACATTAATAACAGTCTTACACAATGAATTGGTCTTATGCAGGAGCCATCATAGCTTTGGGGGTGTTTGGTGGCTTTGTGTTCCTGGCAGCTGTCATCACAACTATAGTCATCTTAATAAGAAGGTAAAATACATCATTCCATTATCAAATTAACTCTTAGACCTACTAGACTTTCTTAATTAGTAATCCTACTGTATGATCCCTCAGTTTAAAATTAAGTAAGTTTGTGTGTGACGTGTTAATGCATTAATGGAAGGGAGCAGTGGATGCAAGGCAAGAACATATGAGGCATTATTAACGAGTTCTAATGATTTTATATATGATATGATGATGATGATGATACAATTAGTATTAATGATTTCTGGATTTTACCTATCACCAATTATTTTTAGCAGAACACGTCTTGTAATCTGGATATGTTTCTGTCCTCAGGTAAAAGGGTCAGGAGTAGGTACTTGCTTATATCTCAAATAACCAAAAAATCATTAATAACACATTTTTTGTGCCACATAACAAGTTTGTTTCAGCCACCGTTTTATACATCTGCTGTGGTTCTGAGTACAAAAAAGTATGCTTCCTCAAAATCCAGTTTTTAAAATATTTATTGAATTTGTGTTATTGATCAGCTCAGAACATGAAGAATGTACAATCTCTTGATCCTGCTGTACTTAGTTATCCATCTTCTGATCAATTCAACCTTCCATCTGTTATAGATCTCACAATGATATGAGGTACATAGCCAGTTTGACTTTAGAGACTTCATCAGATTATTATGTTCTCAGCCATTCTTTTACAAATCTGCCTCAATCACATTTCATACTGAAGTAACCACCAAGAACATTCTAGAACTAATAATCTACTAGCTAAGACAAGCAATTAGCTTAGTGGTTATGACTGTGACATATTTGGAAATATCTTTCTGGGATATTTGCTTTTGCATATTCCCTACATCCTTTGAGTCATACTAATTTTGAATAGTACATGACAGTTTCCTTTTTCATCATTCCAAATTCATCCTCACATCTTCCTTGACAGTACGCAACCTGTGGGGTTAGTGCATCGTCTTTAATAAAATATCAGTTAATCTACCAGTCCCTTCCAGGGTCTGTATTTCCTACTTTTTTGTTGGTGTCACAACGCTGTTCAGTATTGTGTGATTCAAATCCTCTATACTTGCAATGACAGAGTAACTGTTAACTGTAGGACCATCATAATAGTCCACAGCTAACTGGCAAAATATTTATGGCAATTAATTTCAGAACTACATTTTTTCTATCACTCCCTCCCTTTCTCAAAGTGTCATCTTCTCTGGAATCTTGGCTAAGTGTGGTGATGAGATAGACTGTTTTTATAAGCGTAGCAGAGACTGCAAGTTCATTGTGAACAGCTGAAAATGCTCCAAGAAAACTTTCTTTCTGTTCATATTACATATATAAGTGGAAATATACTTCAAACCACCTATTTCAAGTGCCTGCTATATCGTATTAAAATGGGGTAAGTACACTGGATGTCCATTTCCTGTTTTTAATGCAGTCAACAGTTTCATGCCCTTGTAAACTGAGTTTTGTCAGACGTTTTAAGGAAAATAAAAGAATTTCTTGTCAGTATCTTTCACAGAGTCATTCAAATGAAGAGTGGCATGTAAATGCACTGATATTATGACATAATGATGCATTTTTACTTCTTACTGTAATGGAAATGTTTAATGTATTTTGTGATAGGAGATGCAGGAATATGACTAGTACCACATCTGCACACTTTAGAAAACGGTGATTACCTTATTTCCCACATTTTCAAATATCCAAAACAAAAATTTACATTTTGAGTAAGTGAATAATCACAGGTTTAATGCATATATAATTACAATGTTACATAGCTAATTTGAAATATGTTGTCACTAAATGTTCTGCCAGTGTGGAATTGTTAACAAATCAGATTTTAATAATGCCATTGGTACATTTATGAGGAAATTTGTGGTTGGAGTAATTTAATTTAAAAATGGAATTGACATTCCAGAAAAAAATTAGTTATGATTTTGTTAAACAATGATGATAACCAATAATTTGATCCTTAAATGGAATTTAAATTCCAGAGAATTTGAAAAACTATTAATCCTTACTGCAGTATCTACTTGCCTCTATCCATTCATAAGTGACAGTTCTGGAATTCCTTTGTTTCCTGTAATAAATTATGTACTTGCGGTCTAGGTAAATAAACCAGAAACACATCTGTTGGTGGTTTTATTGCTGAGATGTGAGTGAAATCAAGTAGTTAAATCCTTTCATAGTCTTCTCCTATTACAGACAAATAATTAAAGTGGTCCTCTGCAAATATGACAGTTGGTAGCATGAATCTTCTTCAGTACCGTCAATCCAAATCTGCATGTTCATATAATGAGTCCTATTGTGCTTCTTTATCCTAGCTGTCTTATTCCTATTTCTGCTAACACTACTGTATCAACTAACCCAATATTTTCTGTCCCTCCCCTTGCTGTTTTAGTGGGAAGAAACACAAGCTTCCCCCTGCACGAACCATGCCATCACGCTGGTATACACTTCTGGCCCTGCCTTTCCCTGATCAGCAGGTCGGGAGGCGAGAATTCTCTCGCGGTGCTGCCTATCGAAATCGCACCACAGCTGGCTATTTCTCAAACCCACTCTAGGCCCATCAAGGTATGGTACTGATGCAGCATTGACATATGCACCAGTATTAAATTCAGTCTGCACCAAAAGCACAGTTATTCTAAATTGAATCAAACTTACTTGCACTATGGACTTCTACTCCTTTGTACCACCACAAAGAATAGTTTGATTTAAAGTAAACTAGTGTTCTGTACACAATTGACATTTTATTATCCTTAGATTTGGATTAATGAATAAAATGTCTGTGAAATTGTTGATTGTATATGTGATGGTACACTTCCTACCACCTTTTTATTATCATTCTATGACCAACATATTTCTTTCTTTAGTTTTTGGAAACATTTCACTAATTGAAGTCAATTGATCCTTTTCAGGAAATCAAATCCCCACTACCTTTATTAAATGGATTGCAGATGAAGTATTCCAACAGCAGGTTGGCAAAAATACTCTTCTTTTCTCTGTCTTTTACTTGTCTTTTAAATTATGCTTGCAAATTTAATACTTCATATTGCATGCACCTACTATCATATACATACATAGTCCTTGAAGGTATAATTTAACAATAATTTGTCTTTCTATGCATGATATGAGTCATGACTATAGCATCATAAAATTAAAAAGATAACATTGCATTTCAGATTCAAAATGCCCCTGTCTACTAACTAGACCTATCCACCTGGTGTCACATAGAAAACTTTATATGGAACTAAAGTAGTAATTTCGTCCAAACATTCATTCAGTCTCCAAACTTACCTGCAGCAATGTTTGGTGCTGATAGTAATGTACTGTTATTCTAAGTGTGCAGAAGTGCTATATATTAGTTTCTGGGTCAGCAAAGTTTATTAAATTATATTTGTGTTCGCTCAGAGAAAGGGTCAAAGCTGACCTGAGCTCATAACTCCAGCTACACAAATACAATAACATGAATCAGGATGATTAATAATTTTTAATCAACTTGTGCCCTTTCCAAGGTGGGAATGAATAAAATGCTAATTAAAAAGTACCAGGCTTGTGTGAAGTTTCTTTAATCAGGATTTCTATTTGAATCTTGTTGCATTGTTCTTGGACTTCAGTAACATCACAATCTGTTCATACTTGAAGTTTCTTATAAATTTAAACTTCAAAGCTGGATTAATTCTGATTGAAAATATCAAATTTTGTAGGAACTGCACTTTTTTCACCTAACATTACAATATTTTGTGTATACTGAGTCTTCCACTTACATTCTTTTGTTTCAAGAGTTCGTTTATTTATTAATAATTATGTTCCCATATAAAAGTTGGCAGTAATCTTAATTTATTTAGGCCATGCTCAAGTTATCAGGGTTGCAGAATTAATCAGTCTTCTTTTATTTAAACACTTCTATAATTCAATTCCATAACTGAGTATGGGACTGAATCTATGTGGTGTTTCAAAACCATTTAGTAGACAAAGTTTTGTGAACCATAGATTATTCATATTGTTACATAAAAAAGGTTTGCACCATAGAGATTGGTAATCTCTAATGTATTTTGTCAAGAAAAATATTGGGTTGATATCAGAATTTGTAAAAAACATAACATACAGTGCAATGTAAACAAGGCAGCTGTCATCATTCCACCAGTTTTGAATGTAACTGGTTTTAAAACTAGTTAGCTTCATCTGTCACACTATGTACAGAACAGGATGGAAGTTATCTTAGTGATATATTTATAAAAACTAAACCATATGTATAAATTGCCTTGTAATGTACTATATTATTATTTTAAACATAAGGTAAACAATCGTTTTTGTTTGAGTTATTTTTGTTTAAAGACAGGCCGTCACTGTTTATAGCCAAAAGTTCAGTGTTAGGGATACTGGTTGTGAATTTATTGAATCAACTATATTATTCAGAGACATCATTTCTTTCTAAGTAGGAACCACAGTGCTAAACATTACCGCCATCGTGCTTCTCCAGACTGCAATACGGTAGCGTCATTTGACTCGTCAGGTTCAGAGAGTAGAGGAGGACTCAATCGCTACTACCGTCGAGCCTGGGAGAACTTGCATCATGAGTCGGTAGCAGCTGGAAACAAGACCAAAGGCTCGAACCACTTACCTCTTAAGCGCAAGGAAACACTGGATGAACCGGTGAGTGGAGGCTACCGCAATGTTGGAGGCACAGAGCGTGATGGGAGTGAACTGGTAGTCAGTGATACCACTGCTGCCATGTATCTGCCCAAACCTTCAGCTGTAGCTGCCGCTGAGAAGAGAAGGCACCACCATCACCATCACCATCATTCCACTGGTGCTACACCAAAGGACACTGCAGGAGATTGGAGGCAGCAGGGACGGAAGAATAGGTACTGAATTTAAGCTTAGCATGATTATTAGACAAAGGTGCCTTGCTGATGTTGGCTAGAAACACTCAATAAGAGAATTAATAAAATATTCTCACAATAAAATCATAAGTCAGAATATTGCTATAGAAAATTGCATTGCTTGCTTATGGTACATCTCTCAGCCCAGAAGCTATAACATGCAATTTTCAAACTGAGATTCACAAACCTGGCAAAACAGTTCTGAGGCCAACCAGAAATCCAGAGCATAACAACAGAGTATATGAATAACTTTGGGTTTTGGAATACCCTGCATCAAATGCTGCAGGTTTTCCAGCACTGAAGAACCTACACCATTCAAAGTAGCTTATCTCTGAAAGTAAAAGTTAAATTTAAACTTCAGCTGTGAAAGCATAAGGACAAGAACATACAGTATCTGTTTTACAGATTATATATTCATATCGTCATGAAGTAAGGTGAAGATAATTTACACTTAATTATAAAACACTTGGACATTAAACATATACAATTTACTTAACTATTACTACAAAAGTAAGCATTGAAAAAATTTGGGTCCCAAACTTGTCATGTGTATATTAGTTTGGAATGTGTTTTTAAGACAGTAGGACCACATGAAAGTAATATTCTTCTTGTGATGTTTTGGAGCTTGTATTCATATTGAATCCATTTTATTCTGGTATTTTAAGTGGCACATGTCACATCCAAAATGTGTAGTCCCTGTATTATGCTGTACATTTTTACCAGCTAAATGGAAACTGGGAAGGTGGTAAATTAATTCTACCTGATTTACCTGTATGTTCAAAGTAACATTTGAATACAGTCACTGTTATTAAATTTGTTCATGCATGCAGGAATTTTAGGTACTAAAACTTAAATCTTTTTAAATATACAGTAACCATCATTATGAATAATGGTAGAGAAATTGCATTGATGGTTTTAGACTATAATTTTGTACATTTATTATAAGGATGAGGCAACATAGTTGTTATGTTTACAGTTCTGAAAATAATATTAAAAATTTGGAAAAATTCAGGATTTAAGTGAATATATGCCACGGTTATCATGTCTTCAGGTACTACTTCATAGGTGTAGAAAGGAGTGTTTAAGTATAAATGGCCTGCTTGGTCAGGATGTTAATTTAATGCTAAAGTAGGTTCTTGGCAAAATGATTGAAAACTCGAATCAACCACTGACAAGCAACATCAAATTAAAATAATTTTTTTCATACATTAAAACAGTTTCACCCTGTCTTGTGTATTGTACATTAAGATAAATTCACGCCAGAACAACTGAAGGCCTGGATGAAAAGACCAGGTTAGTCTTCTTTAGTAAATTTTTCAGAAGTATTGAGGGCTTGTCTTTCTTGCTGCATACTCAAAAACGATGTAAGTTTATTTTTCATCTGATTACATGTACTGTCAGTGAACACACATCATTCTAGCACCAATTTGTTGGATGGTTTCTTCTTTGCATAAAACCAAAGGAAAAAATCACAGTAAAAAGAAGACCAACTTAATTGTCATGCTACACCCTTCTGGATGCTAACAAATTGGTACATGTGCAGTGTGTTAATGGTATGATTTATTAAACAGAAAAGTCATCCTTAAATTTTAAATAGGTTCATTTGGAAACAATAATAAAATATATTTAGTTCAGGTCACTTCCATAAGTATTTTATTTCTTTAATGCTTTAGGAATAAAAAATCAAATCAAAAGCTACTACATGAATTCATCTGCATGTATCATCTCATGATACTGACAGATACCAACCCAAGTATTTACATTATAACTAAATTGCATGGTGAATTATTTATCAATAAACTTATAAAAAGTGCTATTTCATAAACAATTTTACTTCAAACTTTCAGGGATGGAGAAAAGGCCTGTGTTGAACTTTACATTGAGCATGGTATTTTCATCTGAATGTAAACTCACCTCAAAATTAATGAGCTATCTAATTGCACACTATAAACTATATAGCATGAATGAATCTTCTGAATTTTTTGGGATCTTCTGTTATGGTGGAAATACAAAACAATGCAGGTACCAGTTATGGCACATTGTTACTTATAAATACTAAATACAAATTTTGTTCATGGCAACTTCATCTTCACTGAATTAAACTTACCGGTGGTCGTCTTTTAGGTTGTCATGCCATGCAGTATTTTGAAGGAACATATTATCTCCATCCTCAGGGTTGATGTGAGGAGTGTTGGGAATTGGATAGTTTATATAGAGTTATGAAAAGGATCAGGCCAAGAGGATTGGTCAGTCAGGAGTCATGGGATGAGGGAGGAAGAAAAAGCAGTGTCTAGGACAAAAGGAGATGTGTTCATTGCACCAGAGAAGTTTCAGTCTGGAGAAAGACATACAGCTGATCTTTTAAGGGGCCAGAGAGGAAGATGGGATTAATAGGAAGAGGAACAACACTTCCTGTTCTTTTTCTCTCTTGGCCTAATCTTCCTCTGGTGCTTTGAAAAAGGCACTTTGCTACTGGTCCAGATGCAACTCCATTACCTTCCTAATACATGGTTCTGATTGGCCAGTCCCTTGGTCTGATCTCTTCTCCTAACCATTTATAAATTATTCATTTCCTAACACTCATCTCTTCTGCCCTGAAGATGGAGTCTGTATGATCCTCCATAAATGCTGACACACAGCCATGGTGCAACAACCCAGAAGACTACCATCCTCATTCACATCACTATAAACATCTCAGATCATACATAATCTAAACTTGATTCATAAGTTTGTTTTGGAAGTGGACAATAGAACATTTACTTTAATTACTTTGTGTTTCTCAGACAATACTCACAAGCTACGTATACTTAAGCCACCTACTGGTACACAAACATATATCCAAAACATGTATTAAAATACTATTTTGCCTTAAGAGTCAAATGAAGTATTGGAACTTGCACTTGTTATGAGCAAAATGGTAGTGACCTGCTGATGGCCAAGAAGTATAGGCAGTTTTTATCTTCAATAAATATTTAAGGAGAAAACAAGAAATCTCAATGTAGAGAGAGAGAAATAGGCATAATGTTTGAATCTTGCTCAAGGAAGGATATTTGTGTGTGATACTTTAGTTGCATTTCATCATAACTATAATATCTCATAGATGATTTATTATAAAAATAAGGGTTATAGCTGGAAATAGCTGTCTTACTGCTTACAATATATGAAAATGGAATAACAATGTGTAACATGACTAAGGAATAAAGTGAATTAGTCTGTGGGGCTAAATTCAGTCAGACTGGACATGAAACAGGTAACTGATTCTCAAAATCTAGAAAAGGACAATATGGAACAGTTTCCACAAGGGCACTTTTTAATTTTATTACACACCAAAACATCTTGATAGAAATGAATCCCTCGGCCTTACTTTTAAGGGTATGACAAATGTAATGCTTACAGATAAAGTACAGCAAAAGTATTGAATAAGGTATGAACAAGGTTAGGCTGATGAGGTTCATGACGAATGGGTGGAGTATGCAGTGATTTATCCAATGCCAGTGCATATTTTTGCTGTTTTTTCTGTAAATTTACATTGGCATTTTACTGTGAACTGGTTTCTTTCTTACATTAATTACTAATGTAAGACTTAAGGAGAAAGGTGTGATATTTATTTTCTTCCAGCATAGAATATCAAATCTACCATGAAAACATATTTATTACAAAAAACAGTGTATCACAAATAACATTTTGTTAAAATATATTACAACAATATTATGATAAAACAACGACTATTACCCTTGCTATGAAGCAGAATTTGTAGCCTAAATTAATATAAAAATAATTTTTATGCTTGCAAGTAATTTGATGTTGTATGAAGAGATGTAATTGTTGCAGAAAAAATATTTTAAAACTGTTAATATGTAATGAAATTAAAATGTATATATAACAAACACCATATTACTCATTATCAGTTCCTTACCTGACTAACACTATGAAGTATAATTCTTCTTGAAAAACTCAGTCATTTAGCTGGTCAGCTTGACTTTCTACTGTACCAAAATATTTATTACTACCTTTACAATAGCCCACCATTGGTCACTATTGTCAGTATTCTGAGTGACATGAATCCAATCTTCACTCTCATATGCAATTTATTCAAGATCAATTTAAATATTATCCTCCCACCTGTACATGTATCTCCCAAGTGTTTTCTTCCTTTCAGGTTTTTCAAATTATATGACAAGGTTAGAAGCAACTCTAAAAATAAACACAAAAGAGAAAAAAGACATTCAAGGTCAGAAAATTATCTTCAGTGAACATCTCTGTGTATTGGAGGATGGGGTATTGCGACAAATACAGTGAAACCCTATTAAAGGGTTTCTTGACAGAAAGCTATTTAAAAGTTCTCATGTATGAAAACACCATGGAATTCATTCAAAATACATTTTTCAGAAAACTGCCTTCTCTGTGCAACAAGAATCAGGACCTGAAAACTTATCAAGTTCAGAACTCGAAGTGAAGTAACCTTACACCTGGCATAATTCCAACCATTTGTAATCTCCCTGTACTACTCTGTATGTTCCTTTTCTCTCAATTGATTATAATTTCTTTTGCCAGATGTGTGTTGAGGAAGGAAAACGTGAAATGACAAAATTGTGAGAAAACATCATTACTTGACCTTGCAAATATGATGTAGCAGGCAGTACAGAAATGAAGCCTCCCTCATCTTCACCTCTTGCCATGGGACTTGGTCCCACATCTCCAAAAAATCACTAGCATTAATTAATACCTACTGATCATTCACAATTATCTTCCCATCTCATCCAAAACCATATAATCTGTATGTTTAAAACAGCATAATTAAATAGTCTCAGTTAATATATCATTTGTTAACTTTGTCTCACCTTTTCAGTAATTAATTTGAGTTTTACGCCCTAGTATTCTCTATTAATCTAAGGCAGCAATTCCCTAACATTTTTTCTGAACCACAGAAAATTATAGGTGGTTTTGGTAGACCACTTAATGATTTTTCTTGTAACAATTGTAATGTGCTGTGCTATGAATGCTGAGAAGTCAGTACTGTACCTAATTTATTTCATAAGTATCTTGACACTTCTGTACTATTGATTCATGTGTTTTTATTAATTATGTTTCCTAATATTTTTTTAATCCCACTTATTCCATGGGTGACATGAATGAAACTCAGACCACTCTCAGGAACCTCTGATCTAAGACA